TTGTGTTTTTTGATAGCGAATAAGCCTAGACTGTAGCACGCATGTGAATATAATATTTGAGCAAGGGTAGGGTGTCTGTTTGAGACACAATTAAAATGAATTAGTCTAAAAGCTACACAAAAAACCTGTTTTCAACAGCTCTCTGAAGGAGGTTAGTGTTTATTAGTTTTTTAAACTGATGTCCTTTGGATATATTCATCTTGAACTTTATAAAGAAGCTTGTTTTAATTGGTTTACTCAAAGAACCTGTTTCATCAAACCTCATCTTTTATCTTTATTTTTGTTTGTGTGTTATATAGAGCTTTATCTGTGAAACACAGGTCATTAATTTGATTGGCATAAGAGACCTCAAGGAATATGCAGGCTTTGGAAAGAGCACTGCAGGGAAAAATGCAGTCAAAATGCACTAAATTAGCACATTATTCTCAAGATTCATCATCATCATCAACAAAAAGCAAGGATAAGCCTTGCTTATGCGTTTGGAGGATTATTAAACTGCTATTGTTTCTTATGTGACTCAAAAAGTGTTTCTATATCATCAAATTATTTTGAATATTTCCCTGCAGCATATTTATGTCTTAACTCTTGATTATACAAAGATCAGTATATACCGGTAACAACATATAATGAGGCCTTTGCAGATAGACTGGTTTGAGATACAGTATGTAAAATACATGAGTTTGAATGTGACAATTTTGAAAATGTGTGTCAGAAAAATTACTGTAGGGTGATGTGTGGATTGCTATTATGTAATTAGTGAGATAAAAATGGGTTTTAAAGTAATTCTCGTGTTTTTTATGCAGGCCTCAAGCTAATCACTCAATCAATACCTGAGAGATTAGTGTGCTTCCTCTGTAAATTCCTTGGTTATTTTTGGTAATGAAAAAGAGGCTCCTGCCAGGACATACCCTGATTACCTCACGCATCTCATTAAATGTGTGTCCATCGGCTTCTCACAGTAAGGTGTCAATTATGCTGCTGCTAACTAACATTCATTGCCTACCAGCGAGATTAACGTCTCACTGTGACTAAATCAATCACAGTCCTCAGTTTAACAATTCTATAAGATGATCAGGAGCACAGATGCACAGTGAGACCATCTGAGACATTTCATAGTATAATGGGGTCAAAGACAAGAAAGACGGTTTATTCAAATTGAATTGTTCATTTTATCCTAAGAAGACTGAGATATGTGAGATACACATAATATTTAGACTTGATCATCACTGACAAAAGCATGTGATATTTCCAGTCAGGATTTAGACTGCTTCTTACAACAGACTGCAATCTAATACTCATGACAAAAGTCAAGCTCACAATCATCTGGAACGTTTATTTACTGTATAATGCATTTATCAACCAACATACAGCCCTCATTCATTGATGTTGTTTAGGAGGTCTTATTGGTGCCATGCGACTTTATGGAATTACCTTTGTGCCAATAATAATGAACGTAACTTTTCAAGAAACTAATGCAGATATAAATTGAATTTGAAGAAAATATTTGTGAAACTGAAGAAAAAAGTCGCAGGCAATTTTTTTTTACTTTGTTTTTAATACACTGCATGTTTTGCTAACACATCTTTCTTTTGCTGATCAGAACTTACAAATGCGCTCCCCTAGTTTTCATTTACGCTTTTGAAGTTTTCGTTTACGGAGCGTTTTCGTTCGCCAATCTGGCACATATCTCTAAATATATATATATATATATATATATATATATATATTTGGTGGCCATTGGCTCTGTGAAAGCGCTATATGTACTGTAAATGCAGTTCATTTATATTCATCCATCAAGAAAGTCTCACTTAAACCAGGTAATCAGGGTTGGCAACTATGGCCATCCCACTACTCATTGTTAGCATATGCATTTACACCATCACAATTAATGATCACTTAATTAAAAGGAATTTAAACAATTTGAAAATTACAATCGTGTCTTGCTGTCAGATGATACATACCTCTAAGGGCGTGTGAACTGTGAACTGTGTTTGTTTTAATCTAGAGCTCCAAAGAAATGAAAATATTTGCATAATGTCAGGTGTCTGAAGATCAAGATCCCAGTCATTCAAAGGTGATGTGTCTGAACAAAGTAAGATTATTGTCTGATGGGGACAGTGGATCTCTGGTACTACCACTTCATCCTCTGTGACAGCATCAGAATTTTGTTTATGGAAAAGTGTCTGCACTCCCTGGATAACTAGAAAGGAAATGTATTATAATCTAACAATTCAAACTCCTTTGAACTCCCACATAACAAATTGCAGACTTAAAATATTGATTTTTCAAACTAACTATATAATTTTTTTTAAGGGATTTTACAGTACTAAATAAATATACCTCATGCACCATTTATTATCTGTAATACTGTTGTGTAACTGTAACCAGTAGTTGGCTGTATAGCCCTATATATATATATATATATATATATATATATATATATATATATCCATGGCTGTGTGTATTCCCTGGTTGCTGGAAGTTTAAAGACTATTAAAGATTAAGCATTTATCTCTGAAATGTTCATTTAAATTGAGCATTTTTTAATTATTAATATTCAAATATGGACACAAAAATAATTGTGTTACTCATATTAGCTACATATAATAGCTTGATCAGTCACACAAAAGTAATCAGAATAAATATTGACTCACTGCGACCAGGGCGATACTTCAAAATAACTGAGTGTTTACATAATGAACAGAGACGTGGTCTGTGGGCAAGTCATGTCTTTCCTCTTTCAAAAACTATGCATCGCAAATTAATCAGAAATTTAAAAATTCTGGTTTAAATAGCTTTATTGGTATGGTAAAAAGGCTTTACATTGCCAAAGTTGAATCAGGCAGTGATTGACAGCGCTCTGGTCCAATAGCATCGGTTGTCAGATACAGTACTTTTTGTACTGTACAGAACAGGTACAGTACTCTAGCCCAATGTTGTTTGGGGTGGCTGGGGGAAATATGATCTAATCAAAGTAAATATGATCTAATCGAAGACTGTAACCGTATGTAGATAAACAGGCCCTGTAATGATTGGGCTAAATCAAGACAACACTGCTGTACAATGTTATGGGCTCTCATTGAGCTGTAAAATACCTCTCCACCTGAAAAAACAAGTAATGTATTATAAATAGTATTAGTATATTAAAACTTTTTTTTTTAAATCGGACTTACCACGAATATCCAGTATCCTGATAGCAACGATGACTGATGATAATAATTTCATTCGTCTGAACTATTCATTCTATAAGAAATAATCTCAACAATGTAGTGTAGCAGCAGATAAATACAGATATAAACTTTATATCACTAAAATGAAATAGAAAGCGGCGCTTAAAGACGCTTACATCCACACATGTAAACACAACACTGACGTCTTCACTTCCAGGTCAAGAAGCTGTCAATCAAAAACTCAGTAGCCAATGAGAACTGACTGCTGCTAGCCCCGCCCCCACGAGAGTATGTGCCAGAATGGCGAATGAAAACTCGGGGAGCGTAAATGAAAACTTCAGATGCATAAATGAAAAGTTTGGAAGCACATTTGTAAGTTCAGATCAGCGAAAGAAAGATGTGAAAACAGTTAGCAAAACATGCGGTGTATTGAAAACGAAGTCAATTTTTTTTTTTTTTTTTTGTTTCACAGATATTTTATTCAGTTTCAATTTACATTTGCATTAGTTTCTTGAAAAGTTACGTTCATTATTATTGGCACAAATGTAATTCCATACGACTTCCGATCCTGTTGCCATTTTGATAGGAAAGCTCTCTGTCGCATACTTTATTTACTTTCCTACTGTGGTGGGAGATTCCGAGAGTAAAATGTTGTAATTATGACAGAGCTTGCTTGATCTTGTAAATGAAAGCGTTTCTATTTATTTCAAGATACTTGATTGCCTTTCATAATACACTGAAATTAAATTTTGCTTGTCAAAGTGAGTTTGTAAGAGACTTGTCAGGGGTCCTAAATTTCTCTCTCCTTTTATTTCCCTCTCATTATTAACGAGAATACTGATTATAGTAACCTATTTGCAAACAGCATAAGTAATAAGACATCTTATTTTTCATTAGAACACTTGAGCAGATAATGAGAGCAGAGACTGCAGAGAGGTGAAGGAATTTTAAATTTAGTGTGTGCTGTAGCAGTGGCACATTTCTTGTGGGTTTTGACAATTCAGTTTCTATGTATCTTCATAGTATGTGCAAGCATAGTGCTGAATATACAAGCCAAATACACATCCTTATCTCCTAGATATGCCCAGTGGTGGACCTGTCTGCAGCTTAATCCATCCCTCTGACAGCTTGCTGTGACAGGATTTCCATATATCTCATTTTAGTGCATAGCATACAAGATTCAGGAGTGTTTGTACTTATAATATTATAGTAAAAGCACAACATTACAAGAACATCACAAAAGCATTTTCTTTACTGGGTGTGGCTAGTTTTTCCTTGAAAAATGCTATAATAATATAATAAAATTACATTTTATTATTCTCTTTTGAAACCAACTATTTTTTTTCCCCCTGTGTTAATTCCAGGAAGTCTCGATTGCGTCAAGAAAGTGGAGACAGAAACTTAGGTTTGGTCAAAGTTCAATACTTGACTAAGCTCGTGTCTGCTATATACAGTGCACAAACAAACAAAAAACAATCAAGAAAATGACATCTTTCCGTCCCTTATTCTTTGAATTATTTGTGGTGTGTTTCTTTGTGCAGGCTCATTAAACTACTGCGACAGTAATTATGCTCAATTTATCAGCCACATTGGAGAACTATATATTGCATGTACATTGCCTAAACAGCAATACTTGTTTTTTTCCCCGACATCATCAGGATATCAGAAATGTACATGCAGCGCCATTTGACGGAATAATGTTCTTTTTGTTGTAAAAAATTGCCGAACATCAGCGGAATGTGATGTTCTGTTTGACTGCCATCATGCTACACTGACATTCACTATGACACATTTTGCTAACAGATTTATTTTCCTCTTCCTCTTTTTCAGACTGCCTATAAATGTTTGGTGAGAGAAAATCAGCTGGCATTAAATTATGAATGTTGAACAAGATGACCTCTTACCATCAGCGCCAGATGTTGAGAGGTCCTAGATGGAAAGGGGCTTGGTTTGACCCCTTGTTTCTCCTGCTTTTAGCCCTACAGTTGCTTGTTGTCGCCGGATTGGTGCGAGCCCAGACCTGTCCCTCTGTATGTTCCTGCAGTAATCAATTTAGTAAGGTCATCTGCACGCGCAGAGGGCTAAAGGATGTCCCTGATGGCATCTCCACGAATACACGGTATCTAAACCTTCAGGACAATCAAATCCAGGTCATCAAAGTAGACAGTTTCAAGCATCTACGACACCTTGAGATTCTTCAGCTTAGCAGAAACCACATCCGTAACATCGAGATTGGCGCCTTCAATGGCCTAACCAGCCTTAACACTCTGGAGCTTTTTGACAATCGCCTCACGACCATCCCAAATGGCGCCTTTGAGTATCTATCAAAACTGAAAGAGCTGTGGCTTAGGAATAACCCTATTGAGAGCATACCGTCTGATGCCTTCAGTCGCCTGCCCTCCCTGCGGCGGTTGGACTTGGGAGAGCTGAAGCGTCTCTCCTACATCTCGAGTGGAGCATTTCAGGGCTTGAGTAACCTTCGCTACCTGAATCTGGGCATGTGTAACCTCAAAGAGGTCCCCAACATTCAGCCCTTGATTCGCCTGGATGAGCTGGAGATGTCCGGGAACCAGCTCACCGTCATCCAGCCCAGTTCTTTTAAGGGTCTTGTCCATCTTCAGAAGCTGTGGATGATGCACGCCCAAGTCCAAACCATAGAGCGGAACTCCTTGGATGACCTGCACTCTTTGCGAGAGCTCAACCTGGCTCACAACAACCTTTCCTTTTTGCCCCATGATCTCTTCACGCCTTTGCACCACTTGCAACGAGTGCATTTGCATCATAATCCCTGGAACTGTAACTGTGATATTCTTTGGCTGAGCTGGTGGCTGAGAGAGACCGTACCAACAAACACCAGCTGCTGTGCACGCTGTAATTCCCCTCCCAGCCTCAAAGGGCGCTACATCGGGGAGCTGGACCAGAGCTACTTTCAGTGCTACGCCCCCGTTATCGTCGAACCACCTGCTGACCTCAATTTGACTGAGGGAATGGCGGCAGAGCTCAAATGTCGGACAAATTCAGTGACCTCGGTCAGCTGGCTAACACCAAATGGCTCCATCATAACACATGGGGTGCTCAAAATGCGCATTTCTGTCCAAAACGACGGAACACTAAACTTCTCCAACGTCACCGTCCAGGACACAGGAACATACACTTGCATCGTAAGCAACATGCAAGGCAACATTTCAGCCTCTGCTGTCCTCAACGTGACATCCGTTGACAACAGTGGCTTTAGTTACTTCACTACAGTCACCGTAGAGACAATTGAAACCCCTATCGATGGGGAGAGTAGGACACCGGTTCAGCCTTCTTTTGGCTGGGCATCCTCCTCGACCACAAGGGGAACACCCATTGCCACCGAGAGAGCGTACACTATTCCTGTGACTGACATAGACATTGATGGCGCTCTCAATGGTTTGGAGGAGGTGATGAAAACCACCAAGATTATTATTGGCTGCTTTGTGGCCATCACGCTCATGGCTGCCGTCATGCTTATAATATTCTACAAGATGCGCAAGCAGCACCACCAGCAGGATCATGATGGGCCGACCCGCACCATTGAGATCATCAACGTCCACGAGGAGCTGACGAGGGTTCCGGCCATGGAGAGTCACCTGACTCTTCCGCCCCTAGAGCATGAGCATTACAACCACTATAACTCCTACAAAACTGCTTATAACCATGTGTCTGCTCTTAGCTCGCTGCATAGTTCAGTGCATGAACCTTTACTAATCCAAGCCAGCTCGAAGGATAATGTACAGGAGACACAAATTTGACCATGTTGGACGAAATTAATTCTACCAATGCTGTTTAAATTTTGGTTGTGGACATGCTGTCGTCATGAAGATGACAGCGTGCATTAAGACGTTCAGCAATGTCAATGAGAGCCAGGGTGTATGTATCATTATTTTAACAAGTGTCTTTACAAATCTTATTTATTTAAAGATATGTGAAGTGACTGAATCATGAAATCATAAGACAAAAATGTTAATATTGTCTTCTTCTTTTTTCTTTTTCAGTTCTATATTTTATAAACTGGGGTAATCAATGGTTTACTTTAATGTGCTAGTAGAATTAAGGTCAACTGTCATGCTTTTGAGAGCAATGAGACAACAGTTGTTGCTTTTTTGTTTGTTTGTTCTTTTTTTTAGTTGTGGCATATTACATCCCATTGCTCCAGTGTGTTTTCATTTTTTTGAGACAGTGAAAACAAAAACTGCCCACTGAAAACTGCAGACTTTAAATCGCATAGAGCACTTAGATATGAATGGTGGGCCTGATGGATGCAGCAACTCTAGAGAGGTGTATAAATGGTTACATTTCCCCATGAAAAATCCTGTTACTGAACAAAAAAAAGGGAAAGCTTTCATTATCAGGGCCTGGATTATTCTGCAAATGCAGCTAGTGTGAAAGGAAACATTTCTAGTATTTATAGAAGCTACAGTACTGTTCTGAACACACATCAATTGACTTCAATTCAGAAAATAGGTTTGCATAATTGCCTTGAATTACAGTTCTTAAGTCAAGGTATTATCTAAAACGTGGCATTTGAAATTCAGCATTTTGTTGTTGTTTTTTTCCCCCCAAAATCTGTAAATATATTTATAACTGTAAATGCCACAGACCTATAAATATAAAAAACAAATTTATATACATCAGTGAACATCAGGGTAGTTCAAACATGGCCCCAATGTCACATGTGTGTGGGATATGATCATGAAAGACAAGAAATTGAAATTGTAACGATTTTTGCGGCTTTTAGACAAAAATGGCTATGAGGGAATAAATAATGAAACAAAAAATAGCCTGTTAATGTCACTATGGAAACTGATAACCTAGTGAAAAACACACTGGACAAAATCAGAGTGCGCCTAGTGCATAAAACGTTTATTGTTTATTTGAGAACTGCATTATTTCCAATAGAAGGGATTTTTTAAACACATGTTTTTTACTGTGAATGTGTGCTTTTGTATGTTTGTGAGTTGTATCTGCCCTATACTGTACCATCAGTTATTATTTTACCATTGTCTATAGAATATTACGTTCATTCTGTTTTTCGGTATTTTGAAAATAACTCTTGTATGGTTTATTTAACTGGCAACAGCATACCTCACCTAACATGATGATGATGACGAGTGTGTGAACGTGTCGTTGTGTCTACATGTGCAAAGGGTTGTATGCTCTACCATGAAACTCTGTTTTTCACCAGCTTGTGTATTGCTTTCTCAAAAGATTGATAAAAGTGTATGTGTGATATCTCTCTCCCCCCTTTTAATCATTTTGGACAGCATGATAAGAAGATGTGATACTGGTCTCACCAGTCAACTGCTGAAGTAAACCTAATAGGTTCAAATGTCAAAGGCATCAGAAAAGTACATGAAGAATATACCTCTAATTCATCACATGTACTGACAAGTTTCATTTTAAATTCAACCCCAAAAGTTTGGACATTTTGTAAAATGCATTAATTCAAGAATCTGATTTGTGAATTCTCTTTCAACTTTATTTAACTGAGAAAAGTGCAAAAAAAACAAAGATTTACAATGTTTTCACTTTATTGTATTTTGTAAATATAAACAAATTTTGATTTTGATCTGCAACACACTCCGCAAAAGTTTGGACAGAGGCATGTTTACCACTGTGTCACATCACCCTTGCTTTTAATTACACTTTTCAATAGTTTGGGAGTTGATTATGCTAATTGTTGCAGTTTTGCAAATGGATTTTTTGCCCAATCTCGCCTGATACAAGAACCCTGCTCAACAGTCAATGGTCGTTTTCCTTGTCATTATGGGACATATATTTTCAATAAGAGTCAGATCTGGACTGCAGGCAGACCAGTCAAGCACATCGACTCTACAGTGTAGTGTCTACGAAACCACTGTTGTAGCACATACAGAATGAGGCCTGGCATTGTCTTGCTTCCCAGGAAAGCTGTCATCTTGATGCCATTAAATGTCTCTGTACAATCCCAATATATGCCTCCATGTCAGTGGTACCTTCACACACATGCAAGTCACCCATACCGTTTGCACCCCCATACCATGACAGATGTTTGCTTTTGCACCTGTCGCTGATGAAAGTCTGGCTGTTCCCTTTCAGCCTGAGAACTCAATGTCCGTTTTTCCCAATGTGGACACATCTCCATTGTGTTTTGGACCATCTGAGATGAGCTCGGGCCCAGAGAACTCGGCAGCATCTCTGCATTGAACTGATGTGTAAATTTCTCCTTGCGTATCAGATTGGAGTTGCATTTCTTGATGCAGCAGACTGTGTTAAGTGACAATGGTTTTTCAAAGTACTACCGAGCCCACATCGCTGTATTTAACACAGTTGCATGACGGTTTCTCATGAAATGTTACAATATTATGTATGGTAGATGGTGAAATACATAAATTCTTTACAATCTTGCATTGAGAAATGTGATTTTTATTGCATGAAATTTGGCACAAAGGGCTAAACCATGACCCATATTTGCTTGCAAAGACTGAGATGCTCCTTTTACGCTCAGTCACGATACCCTCTATTACCAATTTACCTACTTATTGTGGACTGTTTCAAAAGAGATTACCTTGGATATTCTGTAAGATTTTCACTTTTATTTTGCCTCTGTCCCAACTTTTTTTTTTTGGAGTGTGTAGCAGCCATCAAAATCAAAATTTGTTTATATTGACAAAATGCAATTACGTTGTTCAGTGAAAACATTGGAAATATTTTCTACTTTTGTCAGTTAAATAAAGTTGAAAGAGAATTCACAAATCACAGATTCTTGATGGTATTTTACAAAATGTCCCAACTATTCTGGATGTGGGGTTGTAGATGAGTTTGCCAGCAGGGAATTCATCACACAGCAGGTTGTATGTAAAGATGCACTCTTACATTTGATCATTTAGCGTCTACTGAATGTGTCAAATTTTACCATACATGTTTGCTTTTATATTTAATTCTACATGTTTCATTTTTTGGTGGCCCCAGTCTTTTATTTTCACCCTCATTGCCATTCATATATGGAAGATGAATTGTAACCACATGTTAAGCATTTCATAAAGGATCAACTGTTGCTTCCCAGCATATGTGTTTTTTAATCAATTAATTATTTTTTGTATCCAATTAAAAATGTTCCAACCATTTTTATTGTACATAATCGATGGGATAAATTGGGACCCAAAAAAAAAACAGCATTGTGCTGTTGAAAAAAAGATGAAAATGTTTCTGTTTTCAGAGGGTCTGTACATGAATGCTAGCTTGCTCCTATCTGCTTCAGTGTTCCTGAGCACTGCATCAGTTACAGAAGCTACTATGATAGCTCACTGAAACCTACATGGCCTACATGGAAAATCTGTGGTGTTGGACTAAGCGGATTCTCTTTTGTTTTCTTCTTGTGGTTTGTTTGTTTGTTATTAGATTTCTATGCTGAACCGAAGCGATTTTTTTGGCAAGAGAATGTCTCTTTATTGACATATTTCTACAAGAACTGTTATTGAAAATAACCAATAATATTTCTGTCAAACTACATATTTGCTGATCAATTCATAATGCTATGGGGATACAGCTAACTAAGCGTTAACCGTGAAAAAAATATAAAATACCAGAGATTGTAGTTCATACGGTACATGCTGTAAATGTAAATAAAATGTTTTTTTCTAAAGTGTGGGGACTATGTATTTTTCAGTGTTTTAAATTATTTGCTTTGGTTGTTTGTGCTCATTTCTACAAAACCTATAATTCCCATATTTCTTTATTTTCTATGTCTATTACAAAAAGAAACAATTATTTCAGACCAATGGAGAATCACACTCAGCCATACCATACAATGCCATTTGGTCTCGGGGGCAAATGTTAACCTCATCTAAGCCTTGAACTACATTTTAATAATAAGATGTTTCCGAGGTGGAATAACATGAGAAATGGAAATATTTCTGACTTGTGGCTCAAGCCTTGATCGGGAGTGTGACAAATCGACGCTTGGGACATAGGATGCATTAGCTCTATATGTTAAGTTTTCAATATTTAGTTCGTATTACACCAAGTAATCTTAAGAAGTTAATAAATAATTGATAATTGCTGTTGTATTAAATAGGTGTCAAATCACTTAAATAATTTTTAAACTAGTAAATGAAATGATGCATGAGTCAGTAAGTCAGAGTCAACATAAGTTTGTTTGGAAAAGCACAAAGAGGCAGTACAGTACATATATGAAGCACATTTTATGATCTTGATTTCTGATTTGGAATATGTTATTTAAATATAATTTCAACAAACTGCAATAGATTTCTCTTTTTCCCCATTCAAGTAAATATGAGTTGAACATGGCTGGAAATAGCTGCCTGGGCATTAAAAACATGGCTGAATAAGTGAACTGATGTGCCTTAACAGGACTTTGGAAAAAGCCATGTTCGTGATGTCCTATGTGAATCAAAAACTATTTCGAAACTATTCAGAAGTCCTCCACAATAAGAGCACAATAGCTGACATCAGATCACCTATTGTTACTCTATAAATGTGTTTTCATCTTAAAAAATTAGACACACAGGTCAGAAACTATAGCATTTCAGTATGTGGGTGGAATGTCAAAGATGTTGATAATGAATCCTTAGCATATCTCTATGGTCAAGATGTTTGCACTACCACATTAGGATACCACCACAGTTAGGATACAACATCCATTGACATACAAACATATGTGCAAAATCTAATGTCTATTTTATGTTATCACTGTATTTTCATATGATTTTGAAAGCAAGCTTTTTGTGCTCCTGTGGATCTGCAAGCCCATTGATACTTTATTTTCCATGCCAAGAAGAAGCTGTCTTCATGCGTTATTTCATTTAAATGAGGAAGCCAGCATGAAGCAAAGCCACAGGTTCTCACTGAACACTTTATAGCACTAACATCAAATTGAGAGACAAGTGACCCCTAAACACCCAAAGGCATATTTTGGTTTAAGATGGACTTGATTTTACTGCACCTTCTGTTGAGTTATGAGCCACTTGACATCTAATCCATAGGGCTTAGACTGAGGGCTGAACACAGCGCTACAAACTTGTGAATTGGATTTATAGGTGCCCTGCATTGTCTCGTTCCCCACGTGATTAATTGTGCAGGGCCTCCTGACAGACGGAAGTACATCAGTTAATTAATTTTGCCAGGACAACGCCATTAGCCACACAGGAAGAGGACGGGTGTGCGTTGAAATAGAATACAGGTGCAGTCTGTGTGTCTGCATGTCCCAGCCCACAGAGCCGTCTGTAATAATTAATCTCTTTCAATGATTCACACAAGCTGTCAGCAGCCCTCGTCATATTTACAGGTAGCAGTATCTCCCATCACTGCAATTACTGTGATATGGAAGGGATCAGTTACAACAACATATCGTTTGAGCGATGACTGGTTCCTCTACAAAGAAACTGTGCAGACTTTGGCATCTTTATCTTTTAAATAGTGCTGATATAGTTATCTGCCGTTATGATTCTGCTGTATTGGCAGCGAAGAGGCGATGAAATACGGAAAGCTTTGCCTCTGCCAGGAAGTCCACTTACTCCTCCCTCTGCAGAAACATTTAGGCACCACATCAAGTAATCTTCATCTCATATTCTTAGGCTAGGCTGCTGGAGGAGAAGATATGAATAGATGAATCTGACAAAAACAAATTACACAGGTAAAATAAAAATAAAATATTTTCTTTTTCTGTTGTGATTTTAAAAAGCTTCTTTAACAACAAAACATGTAGGGCGGGACTTGATTTTGTCCATCGGGAATTAATTGAATTGGTGTATTTTAATATTGCTGTGATCTCATGTGAGTGATAGGTTGTCCCGGCCTCCCTCCGAAAAAAAAGAAGAGAAGAGAAGAGAAGAGAAGAGAAGAGAAGAGAAGAGAAGAGAAGAGAAGAGAAGAGAAGAGAAGAGAAGAGAAGAGAAGAGAAGAGAAGAGAAGAGGTGATGTTATTTTGATTAAAGATTACAAGGGCACAAGAAAAAAATAAACCGATGTGCACGGATAAATCATGACCAAAAAATGCTACAATATTCCTTAAAAAATTAAAATAAATATTATAATATTATGGTTCACTTTAAATATTGATTAAATTATTTCATAATTTTACCTGTAAATTATCTTTCTCTACAAAAAAAATAATCCATTACATTGTACAAAGCAATCAGCCATGCAACATTACAGTAATATTAATACCGAAGTCCTATGTGGCCATTTTCACTATAATCGTTAATTGAGTCACAAGATGGAATTTAAATGATGAGGGAGAGCGTGAGTCCATATAGTGTGATGAAAGAAGTGTGGTCTGATATACACCATTGCCATGATGAAGACGAATATTAGAAAATATCAGACTGCAGAACACAGCGATTGACCAATCAGAATCAAGTATTCCAGAGAACCACAGAATGGGTAAATATAATGATTTACTGGCTGAAACTCCATGCTGATGTTTGCTGTAGGCAAAATTCTGACTGTTTTGTTTTTACTCATTTGACATTATTATTTCATGAGGAAAAGCTGTCTAGATGCCAGAGAACCAACCCAACTCACAGTGTTAATGCTGCATAAATTCTCAGGTCTGCTTTCCACCTCTTTGATTGAGGGGTAACTGTTCCATCATTAATGACAACAGGAAAAAATGAGGAACGAAATATTAACATTCAAGTATTAACTAAACTTTGATTAACGACTTAGTAAGTAGTAGCGCTCTGTTGAATGAGGTAGTTCACTAGCTAACTTTTTTTTCATACCTCCCAGAGGATTCATTATTAATGTGAATAATGCACAATGTAAAATTAATTCTAAAGTGAAGATCATGGTAACCCACTAGTAGTGTCTAAAGGAATACCAAATCCTTCTAAAGGAATTGCTAATTATTTTGATCAGTATTCTAAAGTAAATATCATGGTAACCCACTAGTAATGATTCATGTTATAAAAATCCATCAGAAGAAATCGTTAATCAGAGTTTCTTGTTAGTTACTAGAATGTTAATAATGTGTTACTCGTTTGTTCCTGTGTAGTTATTCATTAATGGCGGAACAGTGGTGACCCAGACACAACATTGTGCACAACACAACAAAATTTAAAAAGCAAACATAAGTTCACATCACTACGAAAACAAGCCACAACACAACGGAAATGCTCCGGACCACTTGGGGTAAAGTTTGTTTTCCGTGCCACTGTTCTATAGAGTTGCCATTCTTACAAATACTGTATATCAATACCACGATCAGTTTTAATAGTATGTAACCATTGTATATCAACATGAAATATTTCATTCAAAATCACCTAGCTGCATATTTATACTCGAGAATGCTTTGACGCGCTACCACGGTGCACGATGCCTAAGGGAACGTCTGCCAATTCCACCAAGGGGTTAAAACGTATAATTTGTATTAATTAAAATTACTTTTAAAGTCCCCGTGAACCGGAAGTTGCAAACGACTTTTCTCCAGTGTTGTGACGTATTTCCGAGAGAAACGGAATACTAAATGAGGCAAAATAGTGGGCGTGGCTTTTTTTCCAACTAGCACCTGATTGGATCTAGAAAAGTAGGTGTTGTCATTCAGCCTGTCTACTGTCAGTTGGAGGGGCGTGGTTACGGATGTTAAAGTCGGCATGAAACGGAAGTTGAGATTGTCATTTTTTCCTTGTTGTGACGTATATCCGAGTGAAACGGCTTCTGAAATTAGAAAAAAATGTAGGGCGGGGCTTGATTTCGTCCTTCGGGAATTGATTGGATCGTTGGAGGTTGGGCGTTGCAAACAAAATGGAGGCAGATTTGGATGTATCTTCTCTGAGAGGCGGTGCACCGATAGCCGCACCCTCATCGGCTCTGGCCGCACCCTTTCGCCATTGCACGTGACCGAAAGAGAAGAGAGGTCGTTTCGAGGGGGGAGGGAAGGGTAATGTATTTGATTAAAGATTATAAGGGTACATGAATTTAAAAAAAAATAATGAAGTGCACAGATAAATCATTTATAATAAACACTACAATATTACATATAAAAAGAAGATTTGTCAAATTTCCTCCAGGTCCTCCAATGCAGAGGGGAGGGGAAATTTCAGATATTGATTAAAGATTACGAAGCCAAAAATTGTTTTTGTGTGGATTGACTTGCATGGATGAATTGTTCACCACAAAACGATCAATTTAGGCAAACAAAGTAAGTATGGTCAATTTTGAATTCATGGGGACTTTAACATATAAAAACGGACATGTTCAAATTCCATTGTATTGCTAAAGACTGCCTTACTACAGGTGACATTTTGCCAATACCTCCCTTCACGTATTTACAGTAAACAATTATTTTACGAAAAAATTACTGTAATACACGAAAAGTTTTTTTTTTTGTTCATGTTCCAAAGGTTGTAGTACGTTCCTAGTGACCAGACTGACTTACTACAGGTGAAATTTTGCCAATACCTGTCTTAATGTATGTACAGTAAACAATTATTTTCCTAAAAAAAAAAATACTGTAATTCACCAAAAGGTTTCATGTTATATACGTCTATATACGTTATATATCTATATACCTTCCGAGAGCCCCCTAGTGGTCGGGAGCATTTCCGTTGTGTTATGGGCGGCTTGATTTCGTTGTGCTATGACTTGTTTTCGTTGTGTTGTAAACTTATGTTTGCTTTTTAAATTTCGTTGTCTTGTGCAATACTGGGCCACCGTAAAGTGTTACCGATTAAGCAACTGACATGGCAATTTGCGTATTATTTGATGTGCAGAATTTGTGTAGGTCCCATGCTGAGCAGCTTCTATTGAGCGCTTGAGTTTTTGAGGCCAGGGTCACCCTGGAACATCCACAGAGATTTCTCTGCGACCCGGGGGGGCAGACATTTTTGGCAACTGATGTTCCCTGCTCTCTGAAGTCACAACATCCTTCTTCAAACAGCAGCTGTGATTATAACGCTTATCTTCAGTCTCTTCATCTTTAGCAAAGTGTAATTAACAGCTAGCAAGAAGAGTCTGTCTGGTGCTAAACCGTAATTACAAGTCCCATTACTCCAAGGGGGCGTTCAAAGCAATTAGCATTTCTCATACAGAGGTTTGAAAAGAAAGTTGAGAGCATTTCATTCAATTTGATTGCGTTACATTCTGAAGATGCACGCAAACTGTTGCACCACCAAGAATTTAAGCGGAGATTTGCTTGATGTTTACCCACTTTGATCTAAACTGAATTACACACCGATGTTCTATATATAGTCCATTCTATAACATAAAATTATAGTCCTTTCATTATGCATCTTTAGCCTGTAGTCTGGATGGTTCAAATTTTGGTATAAAAGAGGACAATAGTCACAGTTTTCATAGCTCAGTCATCTTCCAGAGCCATTGACAGTGCTTAGAAGAATCCTAAACTTTGGAGTATGAGTTAAAACCATCGTCAAAAAATGTATACCTCGTTTACGTCTACCATTAATAACCATAATTTGTGGTTCCACGTAACCACGTAAGTAGGTACCGATACTGAAATGTCACAGCTTTTATAATGTAATATTATTCTAAATGTGTAATATTTGTTATTTAAAAGTGGCTTTGTTTTTGAGTAAGACTAAAAAAAAGTGTTCATATTCTCATTGTTCTCATTAATGAATCCCTACTCAGACCAATGCAATACTGACTGATATGTTTTTCTCTCTGTTTACCTGTTTTGTATTCCGCATAGGCCAGTGTCCTTAATTCTTCGTTTCACTCCTCTTATTGTGTCTAAGCGCAATCACTTTTTCTTGGTCACATGGGAAACATCAGCATACCGCCACAGTTCAGCGTTTATATGGGACTTTCTTCATGGGTGAAATAGAGATCACATGCATGGAATAACGAGTATTGCTCTGTGCCATATTTGAGTTGACATTGTAAGACAGAATTGAAAGAAGAAAAAAAACATGTGGCTACACAAAGAGTGCCAGCACTGCTGGGACACCCTTTTGACTATTCTGGCACATATAGTGCTGTCTTTAGGCATTCTTGATGATGTGTTGCCTCCAGAATTGGCATTCTTTGTGAGTGTTTTTGTTCCAGGCTTACTACAGAGAAAACAGTGGGTATTTGCCATCTGTAGATAGATACACCTGCTGTGCACTCCAGATTACATAGGAACTTCTCCATTGCATTCATTTGTAAATGTCATGTATGAATATAATATAATTTAGGCTTCATTTCTGCCTCTGATTGCCTCATCCTCTTTGTTGGGAACATCACACTGTGAACTGATGAAAACTGTGAAGACTGGGGTGGTTAAAAACTTCTTTATTCAATAAAATTTATTCAAAAAATATGCTTTAGTTCAGGTTTTTCAGAAATAATGAAGTATTTATTATAAAACCACATTTATGTGGAACAGATAGTAAGTTAAGTGCACAGGCTTGGCACTTTACTTCTATAAATGAGTAATGATACCATGAAAGAAAAAGAGAACTATGCAAAAATAATGCGTTTAGAAATGCTGCATCAATACAAATGCTGTATACCCCATTATAAAAGTATCTATTACTTTATGTATTGCATGCCAAACTGTTTCAGATGGACTGTAATGCTAAAAATCAATATATTTTCAGTATATCTGCACATAGCTATAAATGAAAATGAATAGATATTCTGCAAGTATATTATCATGCATCTATTATCATAATAATTTTAATATTAAAATAATAATATCTAATAACTCAGAAAAGAGCAAATTATTATGCAAGCGTGTGGTTTGATTTAAGGTCAGTCATAAAGAATCAATTTGTTTGGAATTGGTTTAGTGTTTTTTGAGTGGTTTTTTAACTAGACCAAGAAACTGGCAAGAAACTCTGTTGCGAGTCTAAAATTTAAGTTACTCGATAGTAACATCTTGTTAATTGAACTTTTATATAAAAATAATGTCACACTCACAATAGAGCTGTTTTACTTAATATCAGCATGGCTGGATCATAAGCATCTGCAGGTATTCAAAATAAAATAAGCACTCTTGCTTATGTGATATTGATTCAATTCATTCTATTCTACTATTCTGTGAAAAACCCAGTCTCCGTGTGACACTTGCAAATGAGGAGCTAAACACATGCGCTACATAAAATATATATGAGGCCAGATTTGCAGAGCTCCTTAAGCACTAAGTGCCCTGATGCAGAACAGAAATATATGTATCATGCAACAAAACAGCTTCCATCGTAAATCCCTGCAAATGGCATGGTGTAAAAGCTCCGCTGACAAGGAATTTATTTCAACAGCAGGCCTGAGATCTGACATCAACCCCTGTAGCTTAAATAGGAACAACGAGGGGGAAGAAATCCAATTTGAACAAGAAAGGAGTGGGGCAGATCCACCTCAGCACTAAGATTCTGCGGTTCAAAGAGAGGTGTCTGACACAGACACAATGGTGGCGCTGTCATCTCTCACTGTGGAAGAGATGGACATTTGATACTGGAATGAGTAATGGAGGTTTGTGCTCAGAGCATTTGTCACCCGTGCTTGTTCGTGAAGTACAGAGCGAGGCTGATATTATGTACTGCATGTCATTAATCTCTGTGCAAACGGTATTTTTACACTGCTGAGATTCTGGCACCTGCTACTACCATTTACATTTATGTTGGGAGTCATAATGAATCACAACATAAATGGAAATGGAAAAAAAATCCACCGCTCAACAGTAGCTGTCATATCTCATTCACCAATCATTTTTGTTATCGTTGACATCTAAGCTGCATTTCCCTTTGCATTTCCTCGTCTTTTGTCGAGTCTTGTTTTTATAGTTGTTTGCTGATTTTTTCATTTTCTTTTTGGGATTCCATGTTGAAAGATTATTAATATCTACACTTGGGTTCACAGTTCAACTCGCCTGTAGCTACATGTTACAAAAAAAGAACATACGATACAAATGACCTCTGAGATCTGAGAAAAAGGCCATTTTACAGAGTGAAACTATTCTCCGGCCTCAGGCAGTCGATTGTTGGCTTCAGCCTTTTATAGAAATGTGCTTACTCTCACAGTCCATGACTATCATTATAATATTCAGATCGACAGCCTTGACCAACACTCTTTTGTTAAATGAAATATAAATCAAGGTTACTTGCACCCTATGAGAAATAATTAAGAGTGCATAATATCCTTAATCAAAAGCTACTGGCGAAGGATAAACGACAGCTGTCTTTATATATTGTTGATATTCTCATTTAGACGGAGAAAGTCTATTTTCTTTAACCTGCATAAAAATATAGATTTGCAATTAAGTTTAAGGATTCCCCATTTAAATTCAGTCAGCGCAACCAATATATTTTTGCTTTATAACTGCAGACAAAAAAATATATAGTTGCACTGTGCCTTGCAGACAGACGTTATTTGTTTTTTTGGAATATGTCTTTGATTTTCTTCCAGTTATTTGGCACTAGCTCATTGAGTGGGTGATTGTTCTGCTTTACCAAGCAAGTATAGAGTACTTTTACACCTGCACGTGGGCTTCAATGCTTCTGTTTTCACAGAACCATTGCAGAATTATTCTTTGGATGAACTGAATTCAGTTGTAGACAGTGGTTGTAGAAAATACATTTTCCGTTAAATGAAAGTCCCATGTAAATTCAATTACTTTGTGAAGAAGAAACTAACTGTAACTTAATTGAGTACAATAAAATAAGAAATGATAAAGAAACTCAAATAATAATCTTTCAGTTTTCAAAGAAAAAATAGAGAATCATTGCACTTGCATTTCCACAGTAATTGCTCACTGAGCAAATCATCATACGCTTCAGTCTTTATGTAGCCACTCTCAAACTAAGCACAATCTCCACCTTACTCAGCTTAATGGTAACCCTCAAAATGCCAACATAACAGAAAAGTTCTCAATCCCAACATAACTAGGACATCAAAGTCACCATGAAATTAACCATTCTTGTTTTTTTATGGAATAATTGTGTTATTATAAATGATTAATCCATGCACATAATTCATGTGCACTCATAAT